ATATGAGGGGACAGGTGAGGATGGTGGTGGGAGAGAAGGAAGGGGAAGAGCACATCCTAGACTCCTAGACAGAGTAGCAGTGAGTCAGGAGAGAACTTGTTCCCATAACTAAAAGGAGGCCAGGACAGCAACCACCCATGAGAGGACAGGAGAAGGCAGGGGCAGGCAGACCATGACAGAGCGTGAATTTCATTCTGGCCACTGAAACCAGGGAGTGATTAAGATATATAGTTAAAATTTAAAAGACCCTTCTGGCTACTGTGGGGGATGAACATGGGGTGGGAGGGGGTTGGCAAGAGTGAAATTAGGAGACAAACCAGACTAGTGCCATCTGGAGCAAGAGAAGGTGATGCCCTGGACTGGAGCGGTCATGGCGGACATGGGCGGCAGTGGCTGGATTTGATATACACACTATGCAGACTGGATCTGGTGGGAGGGGAGAAGAGACGGGAATCAAGGATCATGCCCCAGTGTGAGCGTTTGCTGACAGGAAGAAGACAGTTTCAGATATGTCCAGGCTGAGGGGCCTGTGATACTCCATGGGAAAGCATCAAGTAGATCTCTGACTCGGCAGAGTTGGCAAGAGAGATCTACGCTGAAAGTGTAACTTTGGGGGTCATCAGCACAGAAATGGTTTTCAAAGCTGAGGGAATGGATGAGATCACATGAGAAGGGCGTAGAGAGAGAAAAAGAGAGGAGGACCTAAGATGGGGCCATGGAGAATTCCATATTTAATGATGTAAGTACAGGAGGAGGAACACCAAAAACAGAGAAGAACTGCAGAAGGAAGGAAAACCAGAGGAAGGTGGTGTTAAGGAAGACAAGAGAGGAGATGCTTCGATGAAGGCCAAATGCCAGATGTGGAACAGAGTAGGATAAGGACAGAAAAGTGAAATTTAGGTTTTGTAATATAGAGTTCCACAGGCATCCACTTAGATAAAAGGAATTTCAGTCTACTGACAGAACTGGAAATCATACTGAAGTAGTTAATGAGGAACTGGGAAAACAGAACATAAATAGACCTTTAGTAATTAAATCAGTAGTTAAAAATCTATACTTCTTCCCTCAACAAATTAAAAAAACACTAGGTTTTTGCTAAGTTCTATCAGATCTTCACTACAGCAGATAATTTTTTATCTTACACAAACTATAAACTGTTCCAGAGAATACAAAAGAAAGGAAAGATCTCCGCTTATCTTTTAAGGCTTTTAAAACCTTGTTACCAAATTCAGACAAGGATTATTGTATGAGAAAGAAAAATTCAAGGCTAGCCTCATCTCAGTTCACAGAGGTAGATACTCTAAAAATTAGCAAACTGAATCTAATAACATAGGAAAAAATCATTACACATCATGACCAAGTACAGTACATCCCAGGAGGCAAAAATGATTTAACATTAGAAAATGTATTAATACTTACTAACATATTAATATAGTAAAGGAGAACAAATACAGTGCTATCAATAGATTCAGAATATGCATCTGATAAAATTCAAAATACACACACTCAGTGTATGTGTACACACACACACACAGGAATATTATTCAGCCTTAAAAAAGAATAAAAGTTTGCCATTTGCAATGATGTGGATGGAGCCAGTAAAAGAAAGGCAAATATCATATGATCTCACTCACATGTGGAATTTAAGAAACAGAACAAATGAAGAAAGGGAAAAAAAAGGAGAGTTAAACTGAGAAACACCCTTAACTATAAAGAACAAACTGATGGTTACCAGAGGGGAGGTAGGTGGGAAGCTGGCTGGAAGAGCTGACGGGAATTAAGGGCACATTTATCCTGACGAGCCCCGAGGAATGTACAGAATTGCTGAGTCACTATACTGCAGACCCGAAACTAATGCAACACTGTCTGTTAACTGTACTGGGATTAAAATTAAAAACTTAATTTTAAAAAATGGAAAAAAAACCCAAATACACACATTCATGATTTAAAAAAACAACACCTAGTGAGCTAGGAATAGAGAGAAATTTCCTTTTGCTAATCAAGGATATCTATCCAAACCTGCAATAAATATAGTATTTAATGGTGAAAAGTTAGAAGCAATCTCTCTCTTTTTTTTTTTTTTTTTGTTTAAGGATTATTTATTTATTAGAGAGAGCAGCGGAGAGAGGCGGAAGCAGGCTCCCCGATGAGCAGTGCCAGAAGCATTCTTTTTAAAGTCAGGAGTAAGACAAAGCTATTCACTATTGCTGCTCCTCTTTAATAATAAAATATAAGAAGAAAAAGTAATAAAAGTAAAAACAGAAAGGAAGAAACAATGCCATCATTCACTAAAATAGTATGATTGTATACACAGAAAAATCTAAGAGAATCTAAGACAAACTACTGTAATTAATGTTAGCAAGGTTACTAAATGCATTCAAAATACAAAAGTCAGTGGTACTCCTGTATAGTAGCCACAAAAAAGCTGGATGCTATTAATAAAAAATTTATAATAGCCACCAAAATGGCAAGGTACCTGGGACTTATAAAATATGTTTAAGACCTTTATGAAGAAAATCTTAAAACTTTATTGAGGTACATTTAAAAAACAGAAAGAAAATGTATAAAAAGATACAGGGGACCCCTGGGTGGCTCAGTCAGTTAAGCGTCTGCCTTCGGCTCAGGTCACAATCCCAGGGTCCTGGAATCGAGCCCTCCATCAGGATCCCTGCTCCGTGGGGAGTCCGCTCATCCCTCTGCCTCTGCCCCTCCCTGGCTCACTCTCTCTTTCTGCTCTCAAATAAATAAATAAATAAATAAAATCTTTTAGGAAAAGATATCAAGTTCATAGTAAGGAAGACCTTATATTATAAAACTGTCAAATCATACAAATATAATTCATAAGTCAAGGAAAGTCAAAAGAGTTTCGAAGAACCGTAGGTAGGAGCCTCACCCTATCAGACATCAAGAAAAAAATTGGGGCTATCCTCCTTTTCTTGCTATGAAGGAACATGATTTAGGAGTAGCACTCCTGGCTTCTCTCCATCCTCTCACTCTCTCTGTGAGGACAAGGGCCTTTTCTGATGGGTGAATTTAGAGTGAAAAATAAAACCTGGGTATTCTTGGCTTAGTCCCATCTGGTTTCCCACAGGAGTCTCTGACTGCTCTCGACGGTGTAGTCACGGGCCTGCCTCTGTGGAAAAAGCCGGGGATTCTCTAGTTCACAATGCAACCGTGAAGGGAAGTTTTATTTTGAGTGACATTTCTGCAAGCCCTTTTTATTACAGATCTTAAGTCATATTTTCCAAGAGGCTTCATCAGTAATGAAACTGACATTGTGACTTCTATTAGTCTGTCTCTTGTATCTCCTCTCTTAAATGGTCCCAAATTTAGGGCGGAAAGGATACTATTTATTGGGCACCCCAAATCTCAACATGACTTACAGAAATCTTATCTTATAATAGTTTAAAAATGTGGTATTAGCCCATAGATAGACAAATAAAATGAAGGAGCAGAACTGCGAGCCTGGAAACAGACTCACGTATATAAGTAAACTTGGTACACGAAAGAGATGACATTACCAAATATTGGACAAAAGACAGAGTCTTCAATAAATAATACTGGGACAATTTGCTGTCTGGACTGAGCAAGGTTCATTTAGTGATTCATCAGGTGGTATTATGGGTGGCCTCTTAAAAAATAATTTTAGGTTATTTATCATTTGTATTATAAAGCCTTTCATTAATTATATATCTTATTTCCAACTAGATCACAACCCCTTGAGGGTAGGGATAGAATCTTACATTTTCCGTTAACCCTCCAGAGTGCCTATCACTGAGCTTTACACAGAGACAGCACTAAGTAAATGTCTGCTGGTTCATTATTATTTTACATTAAAACTCAATTCCTATCCCTCATGCCTCAGGGCATACAGGTCCACATCAGTATTAGGTATTTCTAATTATTTTGATATTCTGACTAGTAGGATTCTTTAAACAACTGTGCATTGACTTAACAGGAGTCCTATCTAAAATCACACAACCAGAACATGCATTTGAGGTTCAAAAAGGACAAAAATAAAAAATGTCAAAATAAAGGTTAAAGATGTCGCTTTCTCATTATTCTCAAGGCTCATCCTTATGGCACAGAAGAAAATGAAACCAATCTTGTACCTTCCTCCCCACAAGTAATTTTTCTGTCTAACCTCTTATTTATTCTCATCACAAAATGGTGAGAGGAGCAGGGCAGGGATTACAGCTGAGGAAATTAAGTTTCTAAGAGGTTACACTTTAGGTTCACCCAGCAGGTTAGAGAAAGATGGCGGACGAGGAGCCAGTGTTCTTTAGAAGACCAGCTGTGTAGCTCTTGAGGCCTGATTTCCATTTACGTGATTGTCAGTTACTGCCCATCACCCCAAAATTCAAACTTCGAGAATTACTCAATGGCTAGTACACACAGCTTTCCACTTATTTAAGTCAGATGAACCAATCTCGTGTTTTTGCAATAGACTTTTCCTTGCTCCTTCTCTTTTTCAAAGAGCCAGTCTACCTTGACAGAGCATTTGCAAGCAGCAATTTGCCCTCATGGTACAACAGGCATTGACATCAAATATAAGACACATTCTAGTATGTGTCTCCTGGTCTCAGACTAGGTCCTGCCAAGCTGACCCTATTCACTGTCTGGTTTTTTTCCCTTAACTCTCACGGCCACTGATCACGCTGTTATTTCTGTAGTTATATCCTTCACCTGTTCTTTGAGGAAGTCCTAGTGGCCCCACATCTCCCTTTTGTGAATCACACTCAAGGATTCCGCACCCAGCCGACTTCCCAGTGTTCAAACAATACCCCTGAGCCCACTCTCCTCCTGAGGACGCTTCACCTTGCTTAGCAAGACTGGGGGTTAGACCCACACATGAAAATGGCTGCCTTTCCTTTTCTTCAGGCATCTTAATAAAGAAGGAAACACAGAAGGCAGGTGAGGAGCAATGGGGAAACCAGGAAAGTTTCTCAGGATTATTATCCGCATTCCAGTTTCTGGGTGTCAGAGATAAAGGTACTCACCACCTGACCATTAGTCCATGTTCCATGAAGTTTTTCAGGTTAGGGAGGGTTTGCCTCAAGTCTGGAGTCCCTAGTCCATGTTGATATCTTAGCTGCAAAGATGGAAAAATAGAATTAAAAGAAATTCTGCCAGATACGAGGCAATGTTTCCCAAACACAATCCACTCACTACATTTTTTTTCTTCTTTCGAACTCTAAAAGAGGAAATGTAAATATATGACCCCAACATCACTGACCACACTTATTTATGGTATTTAAAGGGAGACTCTTGGGGCGCTTGATCGCCCAGTCAGTTAAGAGTGTGCCTTTGGCTCAGGTCATGATCTCACGGTCCTGGGCTCCCTGTTCAGTGAGGAGTCTGCTTCTTCTCTCCCCACCCTTGCACCCCAACCAGCTTGTGTATGTGCTCCCTCTCAAATAAATAAACAAATAAATAAATAAAATTAAGGTAGCCTTTTCACCTCCTGCTCCCTTGTTTCCTAAAGCTGGAGAAGACAAAGAATGCCAAACTATGGAATCAGCATATTTCAAAGAGCCCTGTAGCGTTGGCTAACATCAACTCCAGGGACATACACTGTAAAACCAGTATTTTATTTATTTATTTATTTTAAAGATTTTATTTATTTGGGAGAGAGAGAGACAGAGATAGTGAGAGAGAGCATGAGCAGGGAGGAGAGGGAGAAGGTGGCTCCCCACTGTGCAGGGAGCCCAATGCAAGGCTCGATCCCAGGACCCTGGGATCATGACCTGATACGAAGGCAGATGCTTAACTACTGAGCCACTCAGGCGCCCTTCAGTATTTTGTTTTCGATACTGGACGGCTGGCATTACATACTCTGGGCACATTCAGCCCATCCTTCACTGACTCTTTCCTTTTGTATAACAACCAAGGTTAAGGATCATGCTGTGTTCATCTCTAATCCCCAACAGTGTCTGCCAGTGCCAGCACTCAGTTAATGCTTGCTAAACAAATAAATAGCAAGCCACTTTTGAGGACAATGTGCTCTGTTTTTCTCTTGGATTCCTAACTGTCCCTTTTGTCCAGAACTAGTACACAGAGCTATAGAGCTGGTATGATAGGCACTATGGCCTATGGATGGATCTGGTCTTAGTCTTACTTATTTCTGCTAGAACTGATTTTCCAACCCTAGGTCCTTCTGTGTACCTAGGTAACTTGCTAAATGGTTTTCATGGTCTGTTCCTTGTCTCTGAACACCATTTGCTTCCTTAACTGGTCATGACAGAGATCTGCGGTGAATATATGTGCCTATTCATATCCATGCTCTCTCTCCCTCACACACACATCAAATACACAGTAAAGGTACAGTAGAAATGTATTTTTCAAATGACATATATGTAAAAAGTACTCTGTAAACTGTGTACTGGTGTGCAAACATGAAGGATAATCACTTGTGAAGTCTTACTTTTCCAGCACCTAAATTTAAAAGTGACAAAATCAGGGGCACCTGGGTGGCTCAGTGGGTTAAACCCTCTGCCTTCATCTCAGGGTCCTAGGATCCAGCCCTGCATCGGGCTCTCTGCTCAGCAGGGAGCCTGCTTCCTCCTCTCTCTGCCTGCCTCTCTGCCTACTTGTGATCTCTGTCAAATAAATAAATAAATAAAATCTTTAAAAAAATTAAATTAAAAAAAAAGTGACAAAATCAAACTTCTAAATATTTTCCCCTCTTAAAAAATAAAACCACTATGAACAACAACAAAAAAATAGTTCTTTTTTTTGTATCTAGTACTGAACTGATTTTTTTTTAACTTAAGTGTGAATGACACTTAGCAGAGAAGAGTTTACTCTCACTACCCTGAACTTTTAAAGGAAAACCCCCCAAACCTAATCAGATCTCTTGAATGGTCCAAACACACACATAAAGTAAGGAAAAAGGAAACACAGAATGTTAAAAGTAAAAGGGCATTTTGAATACAATTTAAGCTAATCCTTTCTTTTTGCAGGTGGGGAAACTGAAGGCCAGAAAGGGGAAATAAATTCTCCAGGGCCACGTGTTTCAATAACAAAGATATTATTAGCTACAGCCTCATTCTCACAACCTTGCTATTCCACCATCTACCCCAAAGTCTGAGAGGAAAATTGGTTGAAATACTTGAGAAGACAGAGGGAAAATATCCTTTTCCTTTTCCAAAGCTAGCTTGGTGACCTAAATCACCTCCCGAGATTTGCTGACCTTGAATTATAAGATCTACTCCATATTAAATGACATCATTTCTTAAATTAATATAAAAGCATTTTTTCCATACATTGATAAAAGTAAAATGGCTGATATCCCAATGTGACATTCCTGAATTCATTGTTTCAATAAAAAAGTGAAATTGTTTACACATGGCATGGAAATTTCACCTGTGATTCATACTGAAAAATATTAAATATTAAAAAAAAACCCTAACTCATACTGAAATAACACAAAGCTCTGTGTCCCTGAGCCAGTACATAGTCAACTGCCGCCCCAGGTTCCACAGTGGAAGGCTGCTGTAGCATTCTTTGCAGAGACCACAATGAAAATTTTTCTTCAAGACTGATTTCAACCAAAAAAGGAAAATATGGAAAATTCGAGCCTCTACCTCTATATTTGCTATACTGCATTATCATTTTTATCATAGAATCATAGGAATAGGATATTATAGCTTAAAGAGATCCTGGAGATCATTTTTCCAACCTCCTTCCTTTCATAAATGAAGAAATGAAGGCTCAGTAAGGCAAGTGTCCTGCCCAATGTCACAGAGCTGACAAAGGACAAAGCCAAGGCTGGAATTTTAAAAAATTTTTATTTATTTTTAAAATCCAAGTATAGTTACTACACATACACTGTATGATGAATGTTGAATCAATATAATCAACCCTGATGCAACATTTATCATGTATAATGATTCAATAATTCTGTACATTACTCAGTGCTTATTACAGTAATTGTACTCTTAGTCCCCATCACCTATTTTACCTATCCCCCCTTCCCCTCCCCTCTTGGAACAACCAGTTGTTTTCTGTATCTCAGAGTCTGTTTTTGGTCTCTTTTTTCCTTACTTGTTTTGTTTCTTAAATACCACATATGCGTGAAATCACATTGTCTGACTGACTTATTTCACTTAGCATTATATCCTCTAGGTCTATGCATGTTGTTGCAAATGGCAAGATTTCATTCCTTTTTATGGCTGAGTAATATTCCAGAGTAATATCGTGTGTGTGTGTGTGTGTGTGACATCTTCTTACCTTCCACTGCATGTATATACACGTGTAATATTTATGTATGTCACATCTTCTTTATCCTTTCATCTATGGATGGACCTTTGAGCTGCTTTCAGATCTTGGCTATTGTAAATAATGCTTCAATAAACAAATAAACATAGGGGTGCATATATCCTTTCAAGTTACTATTTTTGCTTTCCTTGGATAAATACCCGGTAGTGGAATTTCTGGATCATAGGGTAGTTCTATTTGTAACTTTTTGAGGAGCTTCTCCACTGTTTTCCACAGTGGTTGCACCAGTTTGCATTCCCACCAACAGTGCATGAGGGTTCTTTTTCTCCACATTCTCACCAACACCTGTTGTTCGTGGTATTTTTGATTTTATAAGGCTAGAATTTATTTTCATTCTTTTTTTTGAATTTTTGAATTATTTTGAATTTTTAAGAACTTCTTAAATGTTAATTTTCAACATATAAAACCAAAAAAATTCATATAATATATATATATATTACATTTTAAAAATAAAGTACACATACTATTTAATAAGCCTAAATTGCTCCAAGGCTTATAATGAAAAAGCAAATTCTTTGCTCTTCAGTAGCAACTACTTTTAGCTGTTTCTTCTTTATCTTCATATTTCTAAATAATATGATTGTATTAATTTTCCTGTTCTTTCCTATTCTTCCCAGTTTTAGACCTCATCTACTGTGTTCCTATTACGAAAAATAAAAATTCAGCTTTTATATTACTCTTCTCTTACACAAACATTTTATCCCCTCACCCATCCATCATCTATTGATTTTTTGTTAAAGAATATGAGGATTTAACTATCCTCCCTGATAAACTTCCTTTATCCTCAAGATATTCAATACCACATTTTTGTTAGATCAGTATTTCACGCGTCTCTTATTATACCTGCAGAGATACTTGGCAAAGACACTGCCAAGCCCGTCTTTTGACCTATTCCTTACTCTTCGCTCTATGAGGTACCTGATACCTCCTAAGTCCTTCTGGAGTCCTGTGGCTTGAATTGCAGTGCTGCTTGAAGGCTTTAGGTTTTGGTTTTCTCCATTCTATCAACTCAGTTTATCACTCATTTATTTGTTTGCATTCTTCTAAAATTTTGTTGACTATCACTCACTCTTGTCTCTTCTGTTCTTTTCATCCTCATGAGTTTGCAAATTTAAACTGTTTTATCTTTATTAGTAGTATTTCATTAGGGAGCAGACATAAAGGAGGATATTTAATTTATCAGGCAGCATTTCAAAAGTGGCTAACAAACTTCCTTATACCTTTTACAGAGTACTCAATGGAGCTCTATTTTCTGTCTTTAAGTCTCTCTCTAGGCATCATCCATCTGGCCATATTCTATCCATTCTCAAAGAGCCAACACAAGTTCCATTTCCTGTAGGTGGTTCTCTCTGACTACTCCAGGACAAGGAAGCATTTTACATCTCTCCTCAAATCTCTTCCTACACCATGTTTGCATGTACTGTCTTTGGAAAACCCTAACTAATTCAGTAGGTACTTGATAAATATTTGTTAGTAAGTTAAATCAATGGAATATGAGAGACAATGAGAGGCATCATGACAGCAATGAGCTTCAATGGAGATCTGTAAGTGACAGTGCTTTCACTTCCTAGTTGTCTGACTTTGGATGTCATTTTGCTTCTCTGAGGAGTTTCAGTTTCCTTACTTGTAAAATGGTGAATGTTATCTGCCTTGCAGAGCTGTTGTAACGTTTAAATAAGACAAAGTATCTGGAGTACCCCAAACAATATCTGGTAAATAGTAAGTGCTCAATAAACTATACTTATTGCAATTTTAATACATATATGCTCTATATGTTTTCATTATCATAGCATCTACCACTAGGCTGGGCAT